TTGGCTTAGTTGTGTGTTTCAGCGGTGCTATATTGCACCCTGACTGGCTCATCTCCTTCCAGTGACCTCTCTGTGAGGGGATGTCCAATTGTCTACAGATGGGCATTGGGTCTCCAGTCCATGCTCCCCCCCTCGCACACCTCATTCACATTGGGTATGGTTTTGTTCTGGGTCTTACATGCTTGATCCCATTGACACCTCATGATCACACAGGCTGGTGTGCTTCCTCCATGTGGACTTTGTTGCTTCTGAGCTAGATGGCTGTTTATCTTCAAGCCTTTAAGAGAACAGCTTTCTATCATGGGCAAAATCAGATGTTAAATTCCATCCCAACACTTGATGGTCATGTACTGAGTTGTGTCATCTTGCACATGTGGACTTTGTACAAACCAAAAAGATCGATAAGCAAATTACTGCTCAATGTTCATGCAAGCCCAAATGCTCTTGTAAATAAAACATTGTTTACAGTGAAAAGTCTACCCAGCAAATTAGATTCCCACGTAGCAGAAGCTATACCATCAGGTGCACTTCACACAGTGTTTCAGAGCTCTCTTTCTGTCGTCTGGTGGCTCCCTGCTGACTGTTTGGGCGCATGGAGATGGGATGATCGGTGAAAGGAGCCCAGCGCTCGAGGGGCATATTGTTTCATAGCCAATCTGTTACTCAGAATAGTCATGGTTCAAGGTTTCAACAGTAAATGGTCTTGTGTGTCCTCCAGCCTTGGTCCAGGAAGTTTGGAATGGAAGGACGAGAAGTCCTGTCCTGCGCTGTGCTTTCAGCAGGCCAGGACTGCGTTCCTGATCAAACAGTGAGAAGTGGAGCTGGGCACTGTCTTCCTTCTGATCCCGGGGCGGAGGAGGCCTGGTGAGTGCGCACGCGCTTCTTCTCTGAGCCTTTGCTTTCTTTCCATCTATTGTACTCGTAACATGGATCACTCCTTGAAACCCTTTAAAACCTCATTCGCTACTCACCAAGCTGAGAACCTGAACGTCGAACATTGTGAGGGGAAGTAAGAGAAAAATATTGCCGCAAAATCACAGACCCCTTTATGAAACAGAAATACCACACTATGACACGAATGCTTCTTGACCTGTCCTCCATCTCTCTGGGCCTGTCCTCTTTTGGAGGTGGTTTGTCTCTCTAACCCGTCCCCAACGGACCCTGCACCCTCTGATGCACACATCAAAGAAGCAGTCTTGGCATTCCCACGGGACTCACACTGTGTTCTGCTTTGAGTGTGGCCTTTTGGGAACAGAAGGAAATCCGAAGGGGCACGACCCAAGCTGTCGTGTGTGTGTGTGTGTGTGTGTGTGTGTGTGTGTGTGTGTATGGGTAAGTCTCCCAATGAAATTCTTTTGGTCAGCTCTTGACCCTTGAAGTTTGAGCAAATGCAACTTTCTCGGTCATTTTCTCACCAATGCAGTTTTCTATTTTCTTGAAAGTTCTTGTTAATAAGCCCCCACGGGTATCTGTGTCCTTCAGAACATCTACCACCAGTGTCCTTTGGGGACCCCAAGAAACAGGCACCGTGAGCTGGGCTGACCTCCTGGCCCAGCGGGTCCCCTTGGAAGCCATTCAGTGTTTCGATGGAACCTTGTTTTGGATGGTGCCCTGACCAGACTAAGATGACGCACGACCGAGCTTGTCTGCAACGCCTGCGGACCACAGAGGCATGTTCACACGTGTTGTCTGGAATGAACCCATGCAGGTATGAACTGAACCTTAGTAGCAATCCTTTCTGACGTATCCTCGTATTGGGCTGCTTGACTGAGCTGTTCCAAGAGACTAGGTCCCTAAGTCTTCAAACCCCATAAAACCATCCCCTGCAGGGTTCACTGGACCTCTGTGCTTGGGCCCTGTACGTTTTATTAAAACAAAGGGCCCTGGTGGCGCAGTCAAGTGCTCGGCTACTAACCCAAAGGTGAGCAGTTCAAACAACCAGCTGCTCTGTGGGAGAAGGGTGTGGCCGTCTGCTTCCATCGAGTATGACAGTTCCACTCCGTCCTACAGGGTCACCAGGAATTGGGATTGACTGGATGACAACAGGCTTGGGTTTAGATGTGCTTCATGATCTATATGAATATACATGGATGCAGGTGCATGTATGAGGGAGTATCACAGAGTGGTTGGAAAAAATAGAATGGACGATGGAATTTTCCCACTGGCGTTTTGACGCCCCCTTGGATACACAGCTGCAC